ATATTTTTATTTTTAAGATACAATCTTATTATTGTCCCTTGTCCTACAATTCTTAATATCCACAACAAAATTTTGACAATATACTAAAGGCTCAATCAACATCGTGTTTAATCAATATTAAGGTAGAAAATGTCATTCAGCAAGCACTCCCCACCAGTATTCAGGTAGTTGGAGTAACTACAACCAAAATAATATCAGCTCTACAAAAATGAAAAATTCCCTCGTTTTTCTCATTAAAATTGATAGCCACAACCTGAAATGTTTTACTGAACCAATGTGAGTGGTATCTTAAAATATAACACTGATATTTTTAGGGCAAGGAAACTATTCTGTTGATACTATAATAGTGAATACGTGTCATTATTCATTTGTCAAAACCCATAGAATGTACAGCACCAAGAGTGAACTCTAACGTAAACTCTGGATTTTAGGTGATAATGATGTGTCACCGTAAGGTCATCAATTATAACAAATATATCGCGCTGATGAGGGATAGTGATGGTGGTGGAAGTTGGGCAGGTTGAGAGGTGGAGCGTAGGTGAGAACTCTCTGTACTTTCCACTCAATTTTGCTATATGCCTAAAACAAAAAATAAAGTCTATTTTTTTTTTTAAATAACACTAAGACTACATGAAATATTCCTTTTCTTAGGCCTCCAACCTGGATACTTAAGCACAATTTCACACAGGAAAAATAAAACCCAGATTGTCGTGAAAGCCACTGTTTCATCTATTGGCTTTTTTGAAGACCTCTGCAATTTCAACCAAAGTCATTGATTCAATAAAGTTGCTATGTGACAGTTTGTCTTCTCCTAGTGAATTTTACAAAGAGAGGCCAGACAATGACATTCAGTGTGAGACTGATAGGGAATTTTCAATGCCCCCCTCTTTCGGGAATTCATTTCTCTATCTGAGCTTGAAAGCGTGCAATTGTAAACTCTTGAGCTTGAAAATCTGTATTAGGGTAGCAAAATGTTGGGAGGTTTAAAGCAATTTGTTAATACAAAAGAGGTAAAATTTATTTTTATCTCAGATTAGAGTTTCCTAATATGGTGTCAAGAGAATATTATTTCAGAAAACTATTTCCCTATCTAAGGGTTTGGTTCTTTAACAAATTAGGAACCCATTATTTCCCAGACTTATTTGGTACATAACCTGCTGCTGCTGCTGTTCTTATGCTTATTAACATCCAAAGGAACTATTGTTGCAGCAACATACTTTGGAAATTGACAATATATTTGGATGATAATAGTAGGTCATTAGAAAGAAACTTTAAATCATTTTTCTCTAACATAACTTACTCAGAATTACCTAAAGGAGTGAGAAGTTACTAAATAAATGAACATGAGCAATGCTGCAGATGCTAACAGGAAAGTAGGTGTGGACCGAACACGGGAAGTTACACACAAATGTCTTCATGTCATCGGTCTGTGCACCCCATCGATTTTGTTTGGGTCACTTCCAAAGTGGTGAGCTCATATCACCAGTTCTTTTTTTTTAATGCATCATGTTATCTCTCTAACTAACATAAAAAATTATGCTTATTACATACAATATGATAAGTTCATTATCTTGACATTTATGACTGCTGCGTGCAAGCGAATTTCATAATATTGTAAATATGTTTCCTTCAAATATTCTTCATCATGATGATAGAACCAGGACAGAAAAATTAATACTCTCTTCTCTTTTGTCAGCTTCATCTAACACCATCAGAATCCCCTCTAAGTAAAGACTGTTGTCCTTTCGGGGGCAAAATCCAAAAGATGCTTAAGTTAAACTGGGCACTCTATAAATAAGCCATACTACACAAACTCCATAAGAGCTTATATCGCACTAAAGACCTCTACCCTAATAAGTGATTAGCCCTTTAGTTCCTTGGGTTTTTTAAAAACTTTAATTTTAATTAAACTAGACTAAATCTCTCCCGAGATACTGACAAAATTTGGAAGATCATCACATAAAGAGTATACATTATTGGTCTGTCCAAATATACTTTTATTTTACCTTGAGCAGTTTTTCCTCTGATACTGTGTGATTTTAGTATCAATATACTTATATATTATGTCATATTTGTGTGTTAATTATGCTTTTATTTATGTATAGATTTATTTTGATTTACTTTATTCTTTTCTTAAGCAGTAATATGCAGAAATATTAATCATGTTTCCAATAAATATTAAAATAATGTTAAAAGCCATGTTCTCCTTAAAATGATCATGTGTGTCACCAGTAGGATGTTTTGCACACACCTCGGAAAATACTAACATGGAAATTTCCTGCCATGGAAATAAAGAATGCAAGTCAGAGCTGGAAAACGTGAAGATAACCTCTCCTAACTCTCCTTCCTACCAGATAGGTGCAAAAATAATCAAACAAAAAGTATTTGTTTACTTTGCACTGCTTCCTGAGAAAAAAAAAGAACTCTCTTAAGATACTGTCATCTGATGAATTTTATAGTCAAGGACTATCCAAAGCATTAAGGGGAATAGAACTCTAATATTGAGCTTCTATGTGACACAATAAACACATCAAATGAAACATTTTATTGGAACGTGCAGTTTTTAAGAAGAAACAAACACGCTTGGGAACCAAAGACCGATGCTGACGATGCTTTCACATGTGCTGTGTGTGCCTCTCAATGTTTAATTCTCCTTCTTTCTAATCAAGTGACCTGTTCTCGTTTGGTTAAGTTTCAACCACAAGACATCACTGTATGTTTTTTTCTCTCTCTCTCTCTCAAGATACACGTCACAACACACCAAGAAAAGGGGAACTTCCAGTGTCTGTGGTAATATCACTTGATAAACAGACTCCTTTGAACAGCAGGCGCCTGTCTGCCCTCACTATATAAAGCAGCAGAGACCTCGACTAACTAACATTTGCGGTGAGAAGACCATGCGAGCAGCAGCCATCTCCACGCCAGAGTTAGACAAAATGCCAGGAATGTTCTTCTCTGCTAACCCAAAAGAATTGAAAGGAACGGGGCATTCACTTCTAGATGACAAAACGCAGAAAAGGAGGCCAAAGACTTTGTAAGTTCATTCAATGTCTCACTTTGTGAATTTTAGTTTAGGTTATCTTTAATGGCAAGAGGATTTAGGAAGAATGGAAGAGAATATGAGCATTTAGTTTAACCAGATCAGAGCAAGTATCCGTTGTGAGTTATAAGTAATATTCAATTGTGTTAAAATATAAATCATGATACTGCATTAAATTAGGTGCAAATTTTTTCTAGACATTCACTCATAAAAAGGGGCTCTATCTTAATGTAGCAAAATGTTGTATCAACTTTTTATTATTGCCATATTCCTTAGAAAAGTCTATTCTGTGTTCTTTTCTTCTTACAAATGAAATGAATTCTACTGAAGAAAAATGAATATTTGCTTTTTGTCTTTTGTAGTGGAATGGACGTGAAGGCATACCTGAGATCTATGATCCCACATCTGGAATCCGGAATGAAATCTTCCAAGTCCAGGGACATGTACGTACACTAATACATTGAA